CTCCCGCGCCTCCTCCCACCCGTAGAGCGGCCGGGAGCCGAATCGCCGCTCGGCCTTGCGGCTGCTGACGGTGAAGGGCGTGGCCAACACGGCCCGGGGGGCGGGGCTTGGGCGGGGGCGGGATCGGAGCGAAATCCCGGCCTGGATTTTATTCGGGATCAGGATCACACACAAATCCCGAACTGGATTCTGTTCGGGATCGGGATCAGATGCAAATCCTGGCCTGGATCCATTTCAGGATCAGGGTCACACACAAATCCCGGCCTGGATCCACTTCAGGATCGGGGTCACACATAAACCCCGACCTGGATTCTTCTCAGGATTAGGATTAGACCCAAATCCTGGCCTGGACTTCATTTCAGGATCGGGATCAGACCCAAATCCCGGCCTGGATTCCATTCAGGATCAGGATTAGACCCAAATTTCGCTCCAAACCCCAAATCTTGATCCCAAATCCCCCTGCGATCAGGACCAGACCCAAATCCTGGCCTGGACTTCATTTCAGGATCGGGATCAGACCCAAATCCCGGCCTGGATTCCATTTCAGGATCAGGATCACACCTAAATCCTGGCCCGGATTCCATTTCAGGATCAGGATCAGACCCAAATCCCGGCCTGGATTTCATTTCCAGATTGGGATCAGACCTAAATCCTGGCCTGGATTCCATTCAGGATCGGGATTAGACCCAAATTTCGCTCCAAATCTCCAAAATTTCGACCCCAAACCCCAAATTTTGCTCCAAATCCACCCAACATCAGAATCACACCCAAATCCCGGCCTGGATTTCATTATGTACTGGAATCAAGGACAAATCCCGGCCTGGATTCTTCTCAGGATCAGGATCACACCCAAATCCCGGACTGGATTCTTCTCAGGATTAGGATCAACGGCAAATCCCGCCCTGGATTCTTCTCAGGATCAGAATCACACCTAAATCCTGGCCTGGATTCCCTTCAGGATCAGGATTAGACCCAAATTTCGCTCCAAATCTCCAAAATCTTAACCCTAAACCCCAAATCTTGTCCCAAATTTTTCCCAAACCGATCCTAAACCCCGTTTTAAGCCCCGTCCAAGCTCCGGGCCCATTTCTGCGTCCTCTCCCGCGCCTCCTCCCACCCGTAGAGCGGCCGGGAGCCGAATCGCCGCTCGG